ACAGTGCTTTACAGAACTCTCTAAGCAGTTTACAATGTTAGCATATTGCCCCCAACAATCTGGGTCCTAATTTTATTGACCTCGGAAGGATGGAAGGCTGCCAACCTTGAGCTGCTCATAATCAAATTTCTGGAGTGAACAGTACGTTAACCCACAGTACTGCATTCTAACCACTGCACATGGCTTTTGGGCTCAAGGGACTATTTTGACAAAAGACACAAAGAACATGATAAGAAAGTGTGTTAGGACATCATCTGAAGATTGTGGGAAGACAGGGGAAAGCATATACAGTTGGTTTATTTGATCAAGGTTAAAATAGATGGGTTGTTGCCTATCATTTGTAATGGATTTTTTTTCTAACTAGGGCTGGATGTCGATGTTGTAAAGGTTTTGTGAACCTATGAGATAGGGAAAGAGAGATCATAAATTTGAATAAAATTAAAATAGTTTTAAAAGGTTATTTATGATCATTTTATTGGATTTTTTTACTGAATGAGTATGAAAGATGAAGCTTGGAGTTTTTCTTTAAAGGTAGAAAATGGGATATAAAAAGAAAAGGAAATAAAATATTGCAAACATTTTTGCAATAAACATGTTTTTATAGATTTTTGCTGATTAGAATAGTCATGAAATTTTAAAAATCTATTGATAGAGAACGGGTGGGATAGAATGAAGAGATGGTTTGTTCTATAGTTGCTGGAACAAAGAGGAAGGTTACCTTTTTTCTTTCCCTTTTTTCCTGCATTTATTTTTTATATATTTTACCTTTTATAGTTAATATTAGTTTTAACTACATAATATAATAATTATTTTTCAAACTTGTCTTGACAATAGTACAAACTGAAAATAAACATGTTCTAGTGCTAGATACTGCACCCAATGCCAGAATCTGAAACAGGATGAAGAAATACCATCTGGTCCAGAGTCTCTAAAGAATCTTAGATGCCATTTACAAATATTACTGGTTAAGGGAGGTCAGATTTCCTTGTGTCAGATCCTAATTTGTGGTAGAAAAGCACATTGCTACTTAAGCTCTACTAATGCATATGCTTTACTTTCAGCTCTGATGTTACACATTCCTCTTATCAGGAACAAGGCTGTCAAGCTTCATTCTTTTGTGGCACAAATGTTTGGAGTTTTTTGTGAATTGAGTTAAACTCAGAATTAATTTAATTGGCTCCCTTCCTACACTGAAAATAGGATTGCTATTTTATAAGCCATAGCACCTTTGCAGGTGCTTGACTTAAAGCTAGAGCTATGTAATGAAACCCAGCCACTAGTAAGATACAATCAAGTTTTGTATTGAACCTTATTTCTAATGTCCTCTTCCCTGGTTCTGCTAAGTAAGGATAGCTCAGGATGATTTAAAGGGAAATATTATTTTTCTTATTCCAAATATTATTACGAGGTTATATGAACTGTAGCAATACTGCTCCTACATATTGCTTTCTGATTAACTTCCCTAATGCTTACTAAACAGAGAAAAAAAGAAAACTCATTTTTCTCCCAGTTTCTAGCCTGGTCCCTTAACCATTACACCAACACTTTTAGGACAGTTTTTTTCCACATTCCAATTCTCAATTATATAGCAATTTAATTGTCAACAGGAGCTTAGTAGTAGAGATAAAACATTCAGATAGCAGCATTGTCCTACATATAGGAGCTGGTTTCCAACAGCTCATCAGCTCTCCTCCCCACCTCATGCCTCTGAATTCCTCTCCTGCCAGAAAAAAAGTATTGGTGAATATAATTCTGTCAGCCAGTCTTAACACTCAGGAGCACATTCAAGATAGTTTTAATCTTTTCCCCCCTATGCCTGGAGTACCAAGGGTTTATAGTCTTGAGCCTTCCTCTTTAATCATTTGGAATTTAATCCTTTTGAGTGATGCTTCCTGCATCCTCTTTTTTTGTAGGAAATAATTCACTTATACATTAGATACTCTGGAGTGTCTGTGTCTTCTTTCCTTGAGTTCCTTCCCATCACGTCCTGAATATAGCTTCAACTTTTCCATGTTTGTTGTTTTGAAGTTCTGCTTTGAAGAGGAGAACATATTGGTGCAGGAATCTAAATATTTATGAGGTATTGGTATCATGCTCCAATGCTTTAAGAATCTTCTGAGCAAAATTGAAGTGTGTGGATTTCATGCCTGGATTGACTGGATTAATGAGATCCACAACACTGCTTTTTTCCTAAACTCACTTCCACTGAGGCCAGTCTCACAAAGAGCAATACAAACAGAAATCTTTTGTTAAGAGTCTAGTTAAAAGTGAGAACATTGTACCTGGCTGTGGTAATATCAAAGACTATCAGACGGTTGTAGAAAGAATGTTTTAAGGAAACTGTTCATTTTCACGTTACATTCTGTTTGTTGCTATTGCTGAGGAACAAAACAGTCAAACTTATCATCAGACTAAACAAAGGACGCACGCACACCCACCCACACTCCCATAAACAAATGGAACATCTATTCCAGAAAGATGATCTGCAGGAGAAGAAATGTTGAGTTTTTTTCTTGCAAAGATCAATGTAGGAGAAGGAGAAGCAGAGCTTGGGGGAGGAGTCAAGAGAGGAATCAGCCTGAAGTTATTAGTTTCTACAAGAGACCTTAAATTCCATTAGCGCCAATTTCAAGTTCACTATTAGTTGACTAGATTCTTATGTATAAGCATAAGTAATAAATCAGTTTAAATAGAACTCAACACATGGCCCTGATTCTTCACTGCCGACAATCCAGCAATGGAGATGTTCTTTGAAAAACTGTTAAATTCATGATTATTTGTGCTCTGTGATAGAGAAAATATATTGGTGTGAGGATAATTCAAGTTGCTTAGTTACCAAACCACAAGAAGATTAAAATTGCTAGAGAGATTATTAGGTTTCGATGGCACTAATACAATCCTATTTTGAAAGATTGGGCATTTTTTATGGATAAAGGGACTTTTGTTAGATTCAAGGATAGGACACATGCTTTTAATACTGAAAATCTGTACACATACTTGATAATTTTTACAACTTTCCGTATTCTGCTTTTGTTATTTTCAAATAGTTTTCCATACATTTCTTCATAACCAAAATGTAGAAAACAGAGAAATTATAGAAACAGTTTGATTTATACTGAAGTCATGATTATAGATTCTTTATTTCTTTTAGTCGGCAGTTAATTAATTTAACTAGTTAGGCATATTACCAACCACTGAACCCTTTCTCAGTTGATCAATGTTTTCAGAAACATTCTCATTAGAACTGGAGAACATTTTACACAATAGTAGTTAATTAGTTCTTAAATCCCATTCATTGTTCTAATTAATTTCATTTTTATTAGATATGAAATAGATGTCTTTGAATGCAAGATTTGCTAAACTTCAGAAAACAGAACCCTGAAATCAGAAACAATCAAAATTTTCAAAATCATTGTGGAAATTAAAATAATTAGAAAGTTGCCAGAGTTCTATCAGATGGTTGGGAGGTAAATAAAGATCTACATAAAAGTAATATTATTAGTTGTGGTAATTTCACAGATGAGGTTAGCAATTCATTATAACAGCAGAAATTTAAGAACAACACAAATGAGATACGTATAATAATAAATGCAGAAGAAACTTCTCAACTAACCTAAAAAACTAGCGTTAATAAGAAAAAAATGTTTTAGTTGTTTCAGTATTGCAGCTTGGTAAAAGTATGGAGAAAGTTGGGCATACAATAAGAATTAGATATAATTTGAGTTTCACAATTTATCTCCCATCATAATCCACTGCATCTTTTGGACTGTAGGGAAATACAAAGAAACCTTTGCACAATTACTTGGTCTGATGGTGCAAATTCAGCTATAGAAGTCATGACAGTGCGAAATAACTAAATATATAGTCCTGACATGCAATAAGAATTCTAAATTGTTCTTTAAACAAACAGTCCAATACTGAGGATTACATGATAAGCCCAATTGCACCAAGACAATTTTGAAGAACGTAGTTATTCAGAATAATATAGCAGAGGATAAATCTAAAACAAGGATCTGCAAATTGTTTTTGAAATTATTTGTATCTTGTTAAAATGTCTTTTTAGAAAGTTAAGTAGCAGAAATAGATCACTGAATTAATTTTGACTTGCACAACAGAAAAGTATGTTATATTTTATGTTTCAACATAAAATGGTTGTCTAATGTTGAAGAAATTATTTCCTTACGAAATACATTTCAACATTGTAATCTTAAAATATGAAATAGAAATATTCTAGTGTCCTCTTATTTACTGATCACCAACAACTGAATAAACAGTAAGCCTTCAGAATAGAGGCTAATTTGCTTACTTGACCTAAAACAGAATATTTCTAATATTCGGTAAACTTGAAGCTAGTTTCTCTGTGGTTGTACTGTAAAACGATCTTGTAGTCTGGAGTAGAAGCCTAAAATTTCTCACAATAAAATATCTCTGAAAAATTAAAAGACATTCAATATTCAGTGTTTCAAACAATGCTTACATCCAACACAGTGTCACAAACCAATTGATTTATTCACTACTAGATGATAATCAAGTTTTCTGGATATATTTTTTTTCTATGATAAATAGTTTTGTGGTTTTTAGCAAAAACCTGCAAATTTATTACAGTATAGGATTGGTGAGCCAGAGTCCCATTCAATAGATACATGAAATATAATCTCCAGTTTTAAAGCATTTCTTTAGAAGTGAAGCTAGTACAAGATAATATGAGGATGCTATCTTCATTTTAGCTACAGAATTACTGCAATAAATCTTTTTGTACCATAAACTGTGGCTAAGCAAATAATTTGCAATTAATATAAAAAGGAGAAAAATCCAAGGGGACCAAAGCAACCACATTAGGAATATAGAACTTTCTGTAAAATTTCATCCCAAAAACAGAATCTTAAAGACTTCATTTTGAAATGATTTCACAAAGAAGCCAAGGGAGTGGAAAACCACTCTACTTCCATTCCAAATCTTTCTTTTTATTTGATTGGTGTTACAATTAAAAAGGACTCAACGTGGAGTGTTACACATTCTTGGTGCTTCATGGTGCAACTAATGAAATCCCTGAATGGATATTGCTTTACCTTTGATTTTAAAAAACTAACTTAAGAAAAGCTTTAATTCCACTAATGATCACAAATGACCAAATGAACAGCAACAAAAGGAACAGAGAAGAAAAATGAAACCAAACTACTGGCAAGTTCATAATACATACATAATTTGTGGGTTGATGACACTGATTTCAAATGTACGATAAAGCCCACAACACTTGATTACTATGAATATTATTGTGATTTTTTTTCATGTTGATCAACTTGCTTCAAAAGGTTGCTTTCTGTTGTTTAAACTTGCATAATAAACATGCAATGAAATAATTCCTTTTAACATTTTTCTGCAGTGTTTTTGTTTTCATACAAAGATTTCATAAAGTTACAGTGCTGCATTACAGCATTACCAAAATAAGTGTACGAGTGAAAGAGGAAGATTCTTGTGAATTTAACTTAATGACAAAAAACCCAACTACTACTTTTTATCCTGAGACACGCCATCATCTAGTTAAAAAGGTGTGCACAACCAAGTCCCACCCAAATCCCTCCAAAAGACAAAATAAATATTAAATTGGGAGGAAAGAGGGGACAGATAAACAAAATATAAGATGTCATCATGCACTCATCTTCTGCATAGCTCAACCTACATATAGTAAGGCACTATTTCCCCACAACTTAGTGTCCCCCAGAATCCTTTAAAGCCCTCTGCAAACCACAGAATTCCTTCCAGGATGATGAAATAAATGACTGAAGAAATGTGACTATCACATTATTCCACATGTGTTCTCCTATTTAAGGAAGTCATCAGGCAGTCTTAGAAGGAAAAATAAAATCTGTCACAAGTCTCTTTTTGTGTAAATGTGTTCATGTGACATATGGGGATTTGTTGTGTGGGATTTTTTCCCTTCTCTTGCTAGAGTTAAGTTCTCATTGTTCTCAAAGCAAAATCGGAAGAAAAAGAACAGAGGAGTCATTAAAAAAAAGGTTTTGCTGCTCCAAACAGCATCCTGTTTAACGGGTCTGGAAAATCTGATGATTGTTCCCAAGGGAATCGGGAAAGGTGTTGATGGAATCTCAAGGAATGGTCCTCAATTATAATTAGTTTAGCTGATCTTCATACTGCTTTCGGAAACAATCACCAGCAGGAAAAAATTCCCAGCATCGTTCTTGATACATTTTCCAAACATATGACTCCTGCAAAACACAGAAGGTAACTTTAGAACCTCTTTCATGCCATCTGGAATTTTTCAACTCTTACGGTAAATAATTTTGAAATGATCATAGAAGCTTTGTTTATATTCCAAACTACTGTACGTAAGACATGGCTTTATGTTTCAGTTGCAAATAGGCACTCTTCCTGTACGCCCTCAGGATATCATTCAAGGTTTTTTCTTTCTATTAAAATGAAGCTGAAAACAGAAACTATTTGGGAAAAAAAAAGTTTGGACAAAGTCAAAGAGTACACCACCTGTACAAAAAGGGGAAAAAAGAATTTAGATAAAACAAGGTTCAACTTTATCCTCCTTGATTGTGCTATCAGTACAATTGGTCCAGAAAAGACTGTCTTCAAATTTAATTGGCAATGTAGAATTGTTACATAATAAGACTCAAAGTGTAAATAGTTGATGATAGGATAAAACAATCAGTTAGAATAAAGTTGTACAATTGAACAAGTGATAGAAGCAAAATTATGAAGAAATGAGGCGGGGGGTGAGGAACATTTCATATGGATACTCCAAAAGTACAAGGCCTGAATTGAAAATATCAGGGTGCATCCCTAGTAGTTTTTATTTGTCTGCTTTTCAAATTTTTATTTTTTCAAAAAAAAATTACATTGCATAATTTAGTAGGAACAAATCTATGTAGAATACGTAGAAGTGTTTAAAGGAACTTGATGGAGACCTTTGAGAAGCCGCAGCATGATGAGTACCAGTTCTTGCCATGAACTCTTGATATGCTATCCAATCAGTCCTAACCTGAAGACTTTACCTCAACTTCTAGCAGAAAGCCTCCCAACATGTTACACCATCAACCATACCCATTTCAACTGATAGCTTCAAGCAGTGCCTTCATTCCTGCCTTACCTTGGCTGTCCTTCAAAAGGGCCAAATCTATTCTACGCAAGAATAGAAGATCTACACTTCTCAGGTCCAAAGGCTGCACTTGGGAGAGCATTTTGCCTTCGCTGGCATTTTAGAAAAGGCCATAGAGGTTTCCTTTGAGAGGTGCCTGGAGACAGATGCAGCAGAAACCAAAGGCCAAAGACCACACTGCAATGCAACATCATACCCTCCAGCCATGGTCCCCAAAACCACGCCTTTTCTTCTTTTTCTTTTAAAAGAAGCAATTGTAGGATTTCCTTCCACATACAACAAAGCAAAAGAATAACAAGAACTGGGAGGGACCTTGGAGGTCTTCTCGTCTAATCCCCTGCTCAAGTAGAAAACACTATACCATTTCAAATCGTTGTCCAATCTCTTCTTAAAAACCTACTTGTTGTAGCCCCCACAACTTCTGAAGACAAGTCATTACACTGATTAATTGTTCTAACTGTAAGTTCTAGATTAGTTCTCCACTTGATTAGTTTCTATCCATTGCTTTTTGTCTTGTCTTTGGTGCTTTGGAGAATAGATTGCCTCCTCTGCTCTGTGGTAGCCCCTGAGACATTGCTATCATGTCATCACCAGTCTCTCTTTTCATTAAATTAGGCATATCTAATTCCTGCAACTGTTCTTCGTATGTCTTAGCTTCCAGTCCCCTAATCAGCTTTGTTCCTCTTTTCTGCATTCCTCCTAGAGTCTCAACATCATTTTCATATTGTGGCAACCAAAACTGGATGCAGTATTCCAAGTGTTGTCTTACAAAGCATTATAAAGTGGTACTAACACTTCACGTGATCATGATATATTCTTTTAGGTATTATGATCTGGAATGTTAAGAAAGATTATTTGATCTGCATATATCAAGCCTCCAGTTAGTTCAGATGTACATTGTACTATGAAAGTATCTGGAGTGCTGCCATTGCTTGAATCATTAAGATAGATGAAAGAAATACAAAAAATACAGTTACAATTTTAATGATCCATATGACGTTGACTTACTTGACCAGTGTGTTCGGTTTCATCTTTATTAATGAGGTACATCAGAAAAAATCTGAAATAAAGAACAAAACCATGATCATTATTATTGATACATACAAAATAATACACGGACTATTTCTTATAAAATTGGGATACGTAAGTATTTTGAACATTTTACAAATTGGTTGCCTGAGTTTAGTTCAGACAATCATTGAAGTTTGTTGGATCGGAAATAAGCTGTATGTCTGTGGATTCTTTCCTCCCCTCTTCCCATCAAACTTTCTTGAACTGGACTAATTAGATAGTGCTGGTTGAAGAGAATTCTCCAAACTGAGATGCTAAAACAAGATCTAATTTCAGATCAGTAGAATTCTCAAGAAAGTACAATCAATAGTATTATAATTCATTATAAAAATTAATGATAACACAATCCAAAAATAAAGTAAATCAGACATTCTGTAAGGATTTGCATACTGTATGTAATGTAATAGAATTTAATAGGATATATTTTCTGAATTGCCAGTATAGCAGTCTTTGTGTTGGAGAAATTTTCTAGATTTCCAAATCCAGTCACCAAATTTACAACATAATTTCAGATATACAGTAAGTGTTTTATCAAAACACATAAAGGCACACACAATTTACATGTTGCTAACTATACAATCATTATGTCTAATATACTCTTTATATTTAGAAACAAATTACCACATGTTATTTGCAAAATTACAAGTTGCTGAAAGTCTATCGTTCAAACTTCATTTCCTTAAAAAGGTCACAGGAGGTTAATATTGATTAGTTTACATGAAAAATTAATGTACTTACAGATAATTAGCCAAGTTGTGCTCCTGTAGAGTATGTGTTTCAAAGCCATGTGGCACTGTATCAAAATAATCATTACCTATTCCACAGATAAAACATTTAGTCTAAAAAGAATTTAGAAAGATATATATTGTTAACATATTTGCTTCAATTTCATCCTGTGTGTCTATGTACATGCACATATTTGTGAGAATTCCATACTTTTCAAAAATGGTTTTAAACTTGAGGCTGGCATTTTTTTATTATTCTGTGTTTGCATTTTAGTTATTTCAAACACAGAACAAAATGTCCTTATCCAGAGACCCTCTCTGGGGGAGATGGGTGGTATGTGTGTGTGTATATATATGTGTGTATATATATATATATTTATATATATATATATATTATATTATATATATATATTATATATA